CCATCTGCATACACAGGGTGTGTGCAATTGTTCCGTGTTTTGGACAGGAGGAGAGGGGCAGGGAGCCTGGCAAAGCAGCACCCTGCCTCCTCCTCTGCTCCCACTGGCTTTGCCAGGAGAGCTTTGCTTCCATACCCTTACCTTCTCTTGCAAATGATGCTCTGCTCCCAATTGCTCACCAGCCAAACCAGTTCAAAAGCTGGGGTTTCCCCTGGGAACTTTGGTCTTTTTGACAGAGAGGGACTCCATTTGAATGCATGGTCACCTCGGGTTTCCCCGAGGGAGAGTTTCCTCAGGGTTGGGAGCCAGGGATGACACTTTCTGTGCCCTCCTGTTGCTGGGTTTGTACCTCGTCATGGCCAGAGGGATGGAGAAGATAAGTTCAGGCACCTCTACCCATCCTCTGAACTTCCCTCCATGCCATGTGCACCCTGTGTCCCCTTCCACCCTACTTTCCCTCCCCAGCTGGGTGCTTTCCCCATGCGTTGGCTTTGTTCCCCTGGGAGGTGAGTCACAAGTGGAGTCATGGTGACACCCCAGGGAGGGGAGGACGGCCAGCGCTGGCAGAGAGGGCTGTCACACCGGAAAGTGTCAGCTGTGGCATTACAGTGCTCAATCCGCCGAGGATGCCACTGTGATGCTCCTCACGTTCCCTACCTGAGGGCTTACCAGCTCTGATCGGGATGGGGTGGATGAACTCACTGCAGATATGGAGGGCTGAGGGCTCCTGGTAACAGGGAGAGACACTGGGGGACACCCAGGCAGCCAGAATTGACCCTTTTTCTCTCTCAGAGTTAAATGCCTCCAGGGCCCGTGGCAGCAACCACAGTGTGAACAGTCTGCCGGGACCACCAGCCGCCTGTGGCTCTTCACAGGGGTCTGTGGCCAGCTGGGCCGAGTCCTTCGAGACGCTGCTGCAGGACCCTGTGGCTGTCACCTACTTCACTGTGAGTGCCACAACCCAGAACTTGGTCCCTCTCCCATCTGCTGCTGGTAACTGGCTGTCCCACAGCTGCAGTGCAAGCCAGGCCAGCAGCTCTCTCTGCCCCACAGGAGTTCCTCAAGAAGGAGTTCAGTGCTGAAAACGTCTACTTCTGGCAGGCATGCGAGCACTTCCAGCAGATCCCGACCAGTGACACGCAGCAGGTACGAGCCTCCGCGTAACCACAGTGCGGCTGAGCCCAGGTCACGCAGCTGCTGGGAGGGCCGTGGGCAGAGGTGGAGGTGGTCATCATGCCTGCGAGTCCCAGAGCCCTGTAGTGGGATGCTGAGCAGGCTGGGGTCTCCTGCAGGAGGGACAAGGAGATGAGTCAACATGCATCTGAAAAGCCACAGCCCATGGAGCAGGACGTGCTTCTCCAGCCCGGGGTGGCCAGAGGGTGAAGAGTGCAGCTGGGAGAACAAAAGAAACCAGAGAGCTTGACAGGGGCTCAGGGGGACAGAGCCATGTGGCTGGGGGGGATGGTTCCTACCTTGGGCTGTATCTCCATGGAGAGACCAGCGTGTTGTGCTCAGAGCTTGGTGCTGGGTGGGGGCGGCTGGCTCCAATCCCATCCTGAAGCCCAGGTACCAAGCTGGTCCCAGGGGAGACTTGGCTGCTCAGGGCTCAGGTGGCTCCATGGGGTGAGCCGGGGGGTCCCCGCAGGGTAGCAGTGAGGAGGGGGCTCCTGATCCCAGCCTGACCACCCCGCTCCCCCAGCTGGCACAGGAGGCACGGCGTATCTACGATGAATCCCTCCCCAGCCACTCGGTCAGTCCCGTGAACATTGACAAGCAGGCCTGGATTGGGGAGGACATGCTGGCCACCCCCTCCCCGGACATGTTTCGCATCCAGCAGCTCCAGGTACGAGCAGCACCTGTGGTCTACCCCGCCCACGGGATGGGGGCTGCAGGACCACCCTGCGCATCACTCGGCATCACTGCTGTCGCTGTGGGGCTGTGCCACAGGGCGGTGGCCAGAGCGACCCCCTGGGCAGGGGTCTTAAGCACACACATCCTCCCTTTGCAGATCTTTAATCTGATGAAGTTTGACAGCTACACGCGCTTCGTGAAATCCCCACTCTACCAGGCCTGCTTGCAGGCAGAGAGAGAAAGTGCCCGCCCCGCGGCCCCCCGCCCGCAGCAGCAGCCCCCCGCCTGACCTCAGCAAGGTGAGTGGAGTGAAAAGGGGGGGGATGGGGACCTGTTCCTTTGCCCGAGAAAACAGTGCTGGGTCACTTCCCCGCTGCTTGGAGCAAACCCAGCCCCAGGCTGAGGACAGACAAGCAGTCAGGGAACCGGGGAAAGGGAGGGAGCAACCTCAGATGTCCCCATGCTGAGATGCTTTTCAGTTCACCCAGAAGTCGAAGCTGAAGCTGGGCAAGTCCCTGCCGCTGGGCGTGGAGACAGCAGGCAGTGGTGCCAACCGCAG